GGTTGTTTTGTGCCATTTCTAAATCCTGGTAACTATATATCTGTACCTTTTTTTCAATTTTCAGTCTCTCTCTAATTTTGTCTGTAAAAGTTTATACCTTGCTTTTCTGTAGACTTGTTTTTCACCTGTATGCTTGCATTTAATTTACATGTATTAAATATCCCATTTTAGCCCACCATTACCATAGAGTCCATTGAGAAAAAAAAAGGATTTAAAAAAAAAAAAAGTTATGTTTATATCACAACAAAATAACCTCTTTCAATACTTTACCCCCCTCTGCCTTTGTCACCAAAAAATAAACTACTTACCTCTCTTATTACTTATAGTAGCCCTAGTTAGTACTTGGATAATTACTACTTGGCAAGTTCAGTGACTACTTTACCACTTTAATCTCAATCAGCAATTTTTAGCTATCATTTGTCACCGACATGTATATAATAAATTGGTGACCATATTCACAACTCACTGACCTCTGTCACTACTTGATGACATCTGTTACTACTTGATGACTTCTGTCACTAATTGATGACCTCTCTATGATGAGTAGTTTTGGTATTTACTGACAAAAAGTGATATCACCTATTCGAATTGGTGATATGACCTATTCATTTTCAAAAGGTGATACTAACTATTCGAAAAGGTTATATCACTTTTTCAAATTGGTGATATCACCTATTGGAGATGAATAGATTTGAATTTCTTACAACAATAAATAATAAATGCACCCTATGATATATAGATACCACTGGATCCAAGAAAATTCGGACTTCCCAGTTTTCATCCGTTTTTCAATTTCTATTTAAGTTTACATGATAGATAAATGAAATAAATTAATTTGTGAGCAAAACAAACAACAATTTCTATTGGGGTTGATTAAAATTAAATGCAAAACTGTAATCTACTGTCTTTTAAAATGATGAGTTATAAAACGAAAGTAAAAGTAAATAAGATTTAGGGGCCTATAGTCTTGGGAACTCTTGTTTTCTTATAAATAATTTGAATAGGTGATATCACCTATAAGAATGAGTGATATCACCTATTCAAATAAAATAGCCTTTTCGAATTCAATTTGAATAGGTGATATCACTTATTCGACTAAGTGATATCACCTTTTCGAATAAGTAATATCGCCAATTCAAATTGAATTCACCTATTCAAATTGAAAAGGTGTAATCACCTATTCGAGTAGGTGGTATCACCTATTCGAATAGGTGATATCACCTATTCAATTTGAATAGGTAATATCACTTATTCGACTAAGTGATATCACTTTTTGGAGAGAAATAGGCGATATCACCTATTCGAATTAGTGATATCACCTTTTTGAATAGGTGATATTACCAATTCAAATCAAATAGGTGATATCACCTATTCGAGTAGGTGATATCACTTATTCGAATAGCCAGTGAAATGAAAAAAATTATTGTCAATGTGGTTGGAATTAAAACTAAAGGTCATGTAACCGATGATTGGCATGATACAAGTTCCTCAATAAACAATTATTTTGGCTATCATTAGATATTCTGATGGGCGTGATCTCGTTCGCTAGCGCGAACTCGTCACCGCCCATCAGATATCTAGTGATATCCTATAATTGTTCAATAATTGTAACATAATGTATTATTGCAGGTTGTGAGGATATTATTTATTTGATTGGAACATCAGTAAAGTTCATTTCAACGAGATTAGGCGATCCAGTTTTGGAATCGTCGTGACCTGTACAAAAAAGAGAACCTCGGCTTTTGTACGAAGTTTTTATGTATGTATAAGTCAGTAACAAATGCAAAAAGACATGTTTTTGAGTATTTGAATTGTTTTTTATTATTATTATTTATAATAACATCAAAATGATCCAGTTTTGGAATACTTGCTTTCAGTAGCAGTGATATTGATCGAATGATTCGAATTTGAAACGTGTAGTGATATTTCCTCTTCATACATGTATTTATTGTTTTGAAAAAAAAAAACGTTTTAGCGAAAGAAATTTATCAGCAGCAAACATTTTTTTAAGATAAAGAAATAAAAAGGTACAAAATATTGGTTTTCAAAGGAGGATAGGAAATTTATTAAGAAACTCAGAAGAGTTATCTTTGCAGATACATAAGATAGTCTTTAATTACATTTCTGCAAGTTGCAAGCTTCAAATCAACTCATAATTATGACCTTTGCAGATACTAAATGCATAATATCATGTTGTGCAGGAGGACTTGAATTAATTAATTGTAACTTCAATACATTTCAATGAGATTAGAAGATCCAGTTTTGGAATCGTCCGTTTTTAACAGTTTGATATTGGTGAAATGTAGATTAGTACACTACATGATATAAATGACATTTGAATAATCAAAGTTGAAAGTAGCACTGCAGGATGAAAGTTATCTTGTTAGAAAAGCATAAGACCTGTACAATAAAAGAGAACCCTTGCAACGAAGTTTACATGTATGTATAAGTCAGTAACAAGAAAAAAAAAACATATTCATAATTATTTGGATAGTGTTTCAATTCCTTTTGTTGATTATAACAACTAGATGATCCAGTTTTGGAATATTTACTTCCTGAAGTAATTAAATTGATCACATTGTGATAAAATTATGATGCATGTACAGATGTTTCGCTTCAGAGTTTAAGATGTCAAAGAAACATTTTCAAGCAGAAGATGCAACCAATCAGCATCAAATTTTCTTTTTGAATTAGAGAAATTCAAAACACCAAATTCGGTTTTCAAAGGAGTCTGTGAAATCTTCAAATGAATTCATAATAATGACATTTGCAGATACTTAATGATTTATATCAGGTTGTAAGGACTTGAACTAATTGACTGGAACATCAATAAAGTTCAATTCAACGAGATTAGGAGATCCAGTTTTGGAATCGTCCGTTTATAACAGTTTGATATCAATTGGTGAAATGTAGATTTGTACATTACATGATAAAAATGACATTGAATAAAACCAAAAATCTTAAAGTAGCTATGCAGGATAAAAGTAATCTTTTGAGGAAAAGCATGAGACATGTACAAAAATAGAGAACCTTGTTTTCTTTTTTGTTTTTTTTTTCTTTTTGTACGAAGTTTACATGTGTATGTATAAGTCAGTGACAAACGCAAAAAGACATGTTCTTAAGTATTTGAATTGTTTTTGATTTTTCTAGAATTATTTTTTAAAACAACAACATCATAATATTCCAGTTTTGGAATACTTACTTTTAGTAGTAGTGATATTGATCACATAATGATTCGAATTTGACACGTGTTGTGAAATTTCAACTTCATATTTAATGATTTCAAAGACACATTTTAAGGGAAAGAAATTTATCAGCATCAAATTTTCTTTTTGGGTTATCATACTTGGTAAACATTATTCAGGTCGCCAATGTAGATGTAAATTTATGAAAAATATTGCTGATTTCTGAGAAAAAAAGTTTGTGTTATTTATCCTTAAGGACTGCATACTTTCTCATGTTAGTGGCATAAGAAACTGATAATAAAAAAAAAACGAAGTTATATAAAAAATTAAATTATTTCCAGCTATTGAACTTCAATGCCTCTGCATTTGTTCATTCCCTAATATTCCATAATATAAAATTGTCGTTTATAATTTAAAATGCAAATAATTAAGTGTTTCTTAAAATAAGTTAAGACTAGGCTGTTTGTTTTTATAGACAACTGTCTCCTCTATAAAAACAAAAATCGAAAATGTTCACATCTTGTGATTGATCATCAACAAAATTACTTCGTTCAAAAACTTTCTCTGATGGTACACATGTGTCCTCTGAAGTTGATATTGAATGTTTTAGTTCCTCATTGAAATCATTTATGTAGTCTTTGGAGACCAAGTCTTCAAAAAAAAAAATGTTGGAATCCAATGGGCACGAATTGTTACTTAATTTGCCGAGCTATTTTTATATTCTTATGAAAGAGAATTTATTATAAAACTTCTATATGAGAAGATTGATTGATTGTGTGTTGGTTCCCTCTCGAGAAATTACATGAGAAGAAGAAAACACTTGTAGTGAATACTTAAATGTAGAATGCGAAGATAACAAAAAGCAAATGATCTCAAATAATATATCTATTTCTTATTTGGATGTTTTCCTGACCATAGATACCAACTGACAACTGTAGTGTAAGACAAACGAGATGACTTCTGCTTTTCCATGCATCATCAACATTCCTTATATGTGTAGCAATATTCCGTTATCACCTGCATATGATGTTTTTTTATACTCAAGAGCATGCTCCGAATACCATCAATTCTTAAACCTTGACAGGCTATAGACTGATAAGTTTAGGTACGAGAATTTCAACAACCTTGTATAATTTCGTAAACTTTTGTTACTAAACATACTACTAACATCTAATTGGGTTGTATTTTTGCTGACTTGTTTCATACCCATTGGCAGGCCTTTGCTTTTAAATCGAATATGACTACGGAATGTTAAAGTGGTCTACATACAGGGCTTCCGTTGGATGTGACCAGTCAACAGCTGATGCTTTGTCCCCCCGAAGCACCTGTTCTGACATAACTGGAATTTCCGGGTTTTCAGACTTATGCTATGTTCACAGAATCGTATTTGTAGTATTTATGAGATCGATAGTTGTTCGTTATTTTATGTTTTGTTGTGTATTGAATTTTTCTAATTCTTCCGATACTTAAGCAGTCTCTCCTGCTGTGATCAGCGGACTCAGACCTCATTTCAACAACTGATTAAAATACATCTGTTTTGTTTTTCTTTTTTTGTAGATTGAAATTAAACATGCCAACATTCTTTAGTCTTATTGTATATAACACTTTAAAAACTCCATGTAGGATAGCTGTTTATCCTTTGATAACTTTGAAACAACTCATGAAAAGCTTTATCGATTGAAAAAGTAATTATATAATAACTTTAAAAAAGATAATTAAACAGTTTTCCTAGTGCTTTTGTCGGATGTCTTATAGTTTTCTTATAAATAGTAATGCATACAGACGACAAGAGATTGTCTATAATTCTATGAGGCAATGCATACTAACCTTAGAAATTACAAAAGTCACACGGTAGGGAAAGTGGAAAAAATATCAGAGAAACCATGGCAAACGGAATTGAGGAATCAAGGGGAGAAAATAGCAGCAGATCTAAAAATTGACTTTAATAAGCACCTGCAAAATGCAGAGAAAATTTTATCTGAGAGGGACAAAATGCTCGACAAAAAAGAAAAAAATGCCAAGGAAAAATCAGATTCACTAGATAAAAGAGAGAAGGATCTTAAAGCAAAAGAAAAAGAATTGGCCGAGAAACTTGATATGCTTGAAACAGAAAAAAGAATTTTGGAAGAAGATCGGACAAAACTCGATTGTGAAAAGGAAAAGTGGAAAGCAGAAGAAGAGGTATATTACTTAAAATACTAAATATGTTTCACTGTCAACAATATCTTATAAAATTGAATCTTTAATTTAAGCATAACTTCATTTAAATTTAATGATACTACAGTTATATTTGTGCTTTATTCAAGCGTAGAGCCTAAAATTGACTCGGTTAACTAAGATACTTTCTAAGGTACTTATACTACGTAATAATACGTAATACTAAGGTACTTTCATTAATTCTGAAACATCATCATGGCATTTGAAGTTCGCAACAATTTAGTTTACTATCTTTTCAAATCAATTATGATATGTTAAATTCTTCATTATTACTAGCACCGATTCCATTGCTGATATATTTCACTACAATAAATTCAGTTTAATGAGATCAACAATTACATTGAATCGGACAAAAATTCAACTAATCACAATGAATCGGACAAAAATTCAACTAATCACAATTAGCTGATAAGAACAATTACTACACTTTGATATTAGCCAAAGGCCGAAAAAAGAAAAGATGAATGTAATAGTTTCTTTTTTTTCAATTAGTGCACACAATGATCGAGTTTTTTTTCTTTAATATCATTCTATATAAGCGCCATGAGCGTATTTTTTTTCCATATACACATACAATATTATAACTACACTGTACATAATGACTCTCTTTAATGAACTAATGACTGCTGGCAACAGCTCTTAAATTTAAAGTGAAATCTTTAATGAACTAATGACTGCTGGCAACAGCTCTTAAATCTAAAGTGAAATCCTTTTCAAGTAAATTTTAATTGACATGAATAGTATAGATAACTTGTACGTGCTGATGTAAAAACGTTGTATAATAGAAACCGATTCGGGGGAAGTAGTTTTTGCTCAAACGGTCCGTCCTGTCTGACTGTCCTCAAAAATTGTTCACCCTGTCCATAACTTTTGATTGGTTTGGGCAAAGGCTTTCAAAAGAACAAGGCATGGTTTCAATACAAATCTTGCCCTATGATTTTCTTAAAATGAAACTGAAGTAAAAGATTAGAACTCATGCTTTCTGAATCATTGAAATTCCATGCAGAAAAATCCAAATTATTTTTCTCACACGAATTTCATGTGCATTTTCCCGTATTTTCTTAAAAAGATGCAGAAGACACCAATTTTCAATAGAATTTACTTTAAGATGATATTATCCACAAGCATCGCCCATAAAGATTTTAGATATGTGATTTCTCATTGAATTTTGCACAACTGGCTAAAAAGTGAAGTTAACGACGGCTGTGGACACTGTTTTCTGAGGGAAAATTACCCTTGAAATGGGTCATTTTCAAGCTTTTTCTGTTTCAAGTAGAGAAATGCATCAATTATTGACGTCATATTTCCAGAATGGTACTACTTTATGCCATATTCTTTTAATTATAAAATCGACTAATATTTAATTCAGTTTCAAAACTTTTTTTAAAGCATCAAAATTTGAAGGGACGAGAGAGCTAAAATTATACCTTCTTTAGCTGTGACCCTGGATGTCTATCCACTTTTGTAAAAATTTACCACATATCATGTCAATCAAATAGAAAGCTATTGTTTTTGAATGATTGACAGGCAGTAAATTATTGATCTTGAATCAGGTACAATTTAGGGGCGTTAACGTAAAAAATAATGTTTAACCTTGATCATAACTTTTGAATGATGATGCTAGGGCGATCGAATTTCTCATTTCCTATAAAAAGATCTTTTCCTGAATACAAATATTTTACCTTTTGATCTTGACCTTGGAATTTGACCTTCTTACAAAACAGTAATCTTGGACATGATTTAGATGATTCGAAGGGCTTTTGTATTTAAAAAAAAAAAAGGTGTAGGACCTTCCATTGGGTACCAAATAGTTTAAATTGGCTATTTCACCTTTCTCTTTACTTTAAAAAAATGCTAACGTTGGTTATTCCTTTTGAACGGTTGGTGCCAGGCCTTTCATATTTCGTGGGTGTATTTCTTGACACAAGACCTTCCTTTGTTTCAAAGGATTTTGACATTTACCTTTGAGTTTAACCTTCTTATGAAAAACTCTAACTTTGGCCATAGCTTTAAAACTAGAACTTGATGCAAGAGCTTATATCTCAGGGATATATCTTTATCCAAGACCTTTCTTTGGGTATAAAAACGTTTTAATCTCGAGATCTTGACCATGGACTCTCACTTGCATTTGAAAAACTCTAAATTTCGTTAGGAGTTTTCATATTGGGGTATTCGTGTCTCACAAACACATTTTTTTTCTCTTTGAGAATGTGTTTTGGCGTGCTGTGTATGGTACACCACGTGCATTTTAACTAGAGCTAAGACTGTACGTACGACTCCAATGCATAACTTGATAAAGTTCACAAACATGATCAAAATTGTGATAATGGTAATTCATGATTTCATGGCGAGATTTTTCAAGTGCAACACGTCCGCGTAATTTTTGAACGGCCCTCGTACAAGTGTAGGATCTTAACCCTAGTTTGTATATGGAAATATCCTCACATGTTAACATATTAACACTTTTCTTCTTTGAAGTAAATGAAGAATAATGTAATATTATTTAATTGATTGTCTGTTGTGTCTATTTTAAGGTGTTGTTTACAAAGTACAGGATCAAGGATAATATTCTTAAACTAAAGGTTGGAGAGAAAATGTTTGAAACCTATCAGACGACTGTGATGAAAGATCCAAATTCCATGTTAGCCATCCGTTTCAGTGGACGTCATGATCCTGTTTTAGTTGACGGGGCTCACTTCTTTGATAGAGATCCCAAGTATTTTGAATATATTCTGAACTACCTCAGAGATGGAAGTATAACAGCAGAAATTCTGCCAAAAAATAAAGATGAGCTGTATAAAATTTTGAAGGAGGCAGATTACTATCAGTTGCAGGGTTTGAAAGGGGAGATCGAAAAAATCATTGAACAGAGTAGCAGCAATATAGAAGAAGCAGCCAAGATGAGTATGTTTAGAGACTTATCAATATTTATCAGGGTTCCAGGGTGGAACCGTTGCAAAGTATGACGGAGTAAATCTTATGGGGAGGGATCATTAGGATAGGATGTTTTCAAACAATTATAGATGATAAATTCATGTTCTTTCTTTCTGAAGATGGAATAAAATAAATAATGTTTTAACCTGTAGATCCTTGGCATTAAGTTAGAGATGGATTTTATCCCCTTTTACATTTCCATATTCTCTAAAAATTAGTATGTGTACATTTCAGATTAACATAATAAACATCTTTTCAGTTTGCTAACTTGGTATTCACAAAATGTTTAATAAAGAGCAAGAGCCACAATGGGCCTCATTTGGCCCTGAGAATTTTTTAAAACTTAAAACCGCTCCGTTTATGTTGTAAATACTGTATTTCTCACTTGGAGTCTTGGTGACCACGTATCCTTTAATTGTGATGTAATTTCCCATCTAGTCAATGCATTATTATGTCATTAAATGTGTCATTTTACTTATATCCTGAAAATGACCTAAAGTTGATGCATTTTTCAATATTTCATATAGAGCACAACCTCTGATCCAAAATATGCAAATACATAATGAAAGCTTTGTTTCTGAAGATCAAAAAAACATGTTTTATTCTTTGGATCGTGGGCTGTGCTCATATTTAAATTCTTTGCTGAAGGTAGTCAAATACGCATGTTTTCCGCAAATTTCAAGAACATTGCAATTTCTCAAACCTGTTTTCCAATATGTGGATTCTCAAAACGAAATTTTTTCATAGGAAATGAAAGCACAAAGTGTCTACTTTATTTTGATATATGAAATAGGAAAGAGGGTGATTGTTACGAGGGCTGTTCAGTAAATAGTGTCCTGAACTTATGACATTCGTACATACAGAAATCATGACATTAAACTTGACTTTCTCTCAATATTGAATCTTTAGTGAATTTGTAACAGTGTATGTGACCACTTCTCATCACATACGAGGGGCGTTCAATAAATAATGTCATCAGGGCTCGGAAAGAAACAAAAATCGCTTTTCTATGATTTTGTCTTAATGATTTAACTGAAATATTCTCTTTTAATTAAAAGACATGTCCGTAACATTTTTATTCAATGTCTAATTGTTTTTAGAACACAATTTTGAGTATGACCCTTCGTATACTGGAAAATGGCAGATCCTATGACTGTGCTTGTTTTTTTTCTTTCTGAAAGGTGTTTTCCTAAGTTTGGGAAATGAAACAAATCAAAGATTGAAAGATCTGGCGAATATTGTTGATGTGACAAAACATTAGCTTTCTGTTTACCCCAAAACTCCTTTACTCTTCATGGCCTGTGGGTTTGGACGCTGTCAGGAAGAAATTTAATGTAGTGAATTCCTCATTCTGTTTCCTTCCTCTCATAAACCTTTCAATTTTTTGGCAAATATTTTGCATACTAGACTCCTCCAGAAATTGAACTGCCTCCCTATATATGTATTTGAACAACAAGACCGCTAATATTTAAGAAAATAGCGTATAAAACTGTTTTTGTGTTCTTGCAAATTTTTGCTCTTTTAGGCTTTTGCAGTTTTGTCAAGTACATCTTATTCTAAATTTGTTTTGAGGGTTTAACGCAAAATGGATTCTAGTTTCATGATCTGTTTGAATTTCAGAAAAACGTGGATAAGAACAATTTTTTTTTTAACTAATCGTATTAGATTTTCTACACGCTCTCGTTTTCACTCATATTTATAAATATAGGGTGACATTTGAGTATTAAACTTGTTTACCATCAAATGTTTCTTTAAAACAGTGTGAAGTATCCCCAATATGATGTCTATCAAATTTGCTATGTAACTTAAAGTCAATAAAACATAATCTGTGATAATTTGTTGAATTATCGCTAATATACATTGGTTGTTGTATGTCCTTGTTGACAAGGAGGGTACCCATTTTTGATGACCATTATATAATTTTTGTTAATTGAAATCCACCTGTTCATGTGTGTATGAAACAGACATAAATTGCTGTAAATTTCACATATTTCAGTCAATATATTTTTGGGAAATTAACAAGTTTTACAGCAGCTTTAATGACGCGTTCAATTTTACCCTAATTTACTGATTCTTGACTATGGCACGCCGATTGGTTCAAAAATATTTTCTGCACGACCTTAAACAAAAAATACACGAGCAAGTCAAAACTTACACAAAGTGCGGAAAATACACACAAAGTTATTGAAATTTACACAATCTATGCAAAAACTACACAATCAAGAAAATATATACACGATATAATGAGAAAATTACACAAACGTAAAAACGAAAACTACACAAGTGAGAATACAACATCGACATTATATACGGCGCATCCTCATTGCGCACATTTCATTAATATTCATTAGAGAACAGCTCAGTGTGGCTTGGATGCTTGAAACATTATAAAACTGTGTTAACAATATTCATTCAATCTTTTAAAAAGATTCAGTCTTTCAGAATTACCTTAGACTCTCTAGAATATGCACATTGTGTTTTATGCATTTAAAAATTGACAGGTACACAATATGCATATAAATCAACACCCCTCTATTAAAAACATTCTACACAGTCATGTATAGAAAACATAAAAAGGGGGGTGCATATATATTATTAGTTGCGAGTTTAATTGTTAATTTTTTTTATGTCATTCCTCTATATAGCAATATTTTTTAAAAGTTCGAAACAATGATAATATCATAGTAAAGGTAAATAAATAAAAACAGCGTGAGGTAATACAGGAGAGTTTACAACAAATGAAACTCATTTTCCTCCACCACCCACTGTGTGTACTATGGTAATAATTAAGGTTGTGGAGGCGTGACCTTTTCATATCGAGAGATTCCTGGCTCCCTGCTGGTCCTGGAATGAAAGACACATGTACGCTAATCGATTTATAGTACTTTGACACATCAATAATATCTTTTGATTGAAGGTTACTAGCAATTCATTCAGAGATTTTTAAGCAATGTTGCTGCCATCTGGGTTGTGGAATTTGCCCGATACATTTTTAGAAGTAAACAGTAAAAAAAAAAACGAGCAAATAATTAATTGCGCAACTTTAATTTTAATATTAAACGAATCCATCATTTTAAAATTACACTGTATACAGTGTTTTACTTATGTGAATTTCTGTTTTTATAGTGTAGATTATTTTGAATAGGTAAAATGCATATAAAGGAGTTAAACAATTTAAAATTATATTATGCTGATACACATTTAGTATCGCTTTTTAAAGTGAGGAGGGGGGGGGGGGCAAATAATACCTAAACATTCTAATTAACAAGCAGAAAAAAGGTAAAGCGTCTAATCTCGAAAATCCTATTTCGTTGAGGTAGTGATCGAGGCACCTTCAATTCCAATCCAGCAACAAAAAGGGGGCTTTTTAGTTGAAATTTTACAATGCATGGAAGTAGGTTCTGTTTGCAAAAAAATAACGACAACAAAAAAAACGAGGGGGGGGGGGGGGGGGGGGGGGGCAGGTCCCTTCTGATGCTACATGCCTGAAATATATTTTTAAGAATTTAAGGGTACGATGTTCTGGGATTTGTCTGCGCTCGACTTAACAATAGTTAAAAATTGGGGGTTGGGGTCAACCGGCATGTAAAGGAAAATTTACTATAGCAAAATCTATACTCGAAACTCGAAAATGAGGGGGGGGGGGCATGGGGGGGGGGGTCTACGGGCCAGATTGACGATTAATTTCGTTTCATAATAATACAAGTATAATCATGTTCTTTTTTTCATAATGGCATTTACATGTATTGTGGTAAAAAAAAAAAGTAATCTTACTAGTGTTTGGAAAATAATTTTAAAAATCGTGAAGTCGAATTGGAAATGTAAACAGAATTGTTGTCTTGGAAAATAGTTGCCACACATAGAGCTCCATAAAGAACATAAATTATCTGCATTTTTCAAGAGTGATAAAACGCGTTCTATGACATTGCTGTATCCATTCTAATTTTTTTATTGGTTCCTATTCGTAACAATGTACTCATAGATGTACTTAGTAAATCATAATGTTTTAAAAGTAACAAAACACAAGAGCGCATGTACATAAAGCACATAGAGAATATATATATTCTCCTTTTATCTGGTCCTTTTTATTAAAATGAAAACATTTATCATGCAATCGTCTTTCCGAAGGAGGGTAACGCTTACAATTAAGAAATGTCTTGTTTTTATTGAGTAGCTTATAACTGAAAATATGAGATTTCATGGAAGGAATTCACAACAAAGTATGCTAAAGATCTCCAACCAAAACTGATATCCTGATATTTTATAAGTATGAATGCATGTGTTATTGTGTTATTAGAGTAAAATATTTTTTATGTTTGACGTTAGATCTAAATACATGCTCGTACATCTAAATTAATACCAAATTTTTTAAGTTAAAAAAAATATATCCAATAAAATGAATAAAGGAATATATAACTTCCTATTCCGAGTGGTAAAGAAAATAAAATAGGTATAAATGAAGAGTACCAAAATTAATTCTACAGCTTAATGATTATAATCAGCAATAATTCTGCCAATTTCATGAATAATTAACTTTATTAATCGTTTGATTATGCAAGTGTTCATTTTATATTTATACAAGTAATTTCCGTTAAAGTTGTATCTATAAATTGGAAATTTTTAAAAGATATAGAGAGTTTATTTAAATAATAAAAAAAAATAATAATAATAATTCTAACAATTTTTTTAAGAGAATCAAGATCCTAGTCAGCCGCACTGTTTATCGTTTGGTACTTTTAGTTCGGAATCGAGAGCATCATATGCAATGTTGTTGTTGTTGTTTTTTTTTTTTACCTCGCATTATACGATTCCTTCTTGTCACAATTTTTGTCATTAAATAATACCTCCATATATTAGTTAGGATCTCGATCAATACAAGAAAAACATATTATTTGAAAAACTTTGAAGTATTCTCACACAAACGATGAATATTCTATGTGCATAATAATGATATGCGCAGCTGTATGCGCAGTAAAATTGTTGTGTAATTTTTAGTTTCCTCTGCTCGTGCAATTTTTGATTTTTTGTTTGTGCATATTAAACCCCTAAATCGTGTAAAAAATTTCGGATTCGTGTATTTTTCGTTATGTTTGTGTTAAAATCTTTCACACTATGTGCAATTTTTACCTATACGTGCATTTTTATTTTACTCGTGTAAATTTTTTATCTAGCTCGTGTATAAAATCTTGATCGTTGTGCAGAAAATAATTTTGAACCAATCGGCGTGCCATACTTGACCATTCATTTTTAACGCAGTGTCTCGAGTAGCTCTTGTTTTCCAGCTTCCCACAATGAAATTATGCGATGAAAAGTGGTCACATAAACTGTTATCAATTCATTAAAGATTAAATTATTAGAAAAAGTCAAGCTTAATGTCATATGATTTCTATGTTGTATGTCATGGAGCTGATGACATTATTTATTGAACGCCCCTCGTAGTTTCATCGTGAGAAGTTGGGAAACAAGGGCTATTCGAGACATGGCATTATAAATGAATGGTAAAGAATCAGTAAACTACAGTGAAAATAAAAGCTTCATTAAAGCTGCTGTAAAACTTGTTAAAATCCCAAAGAAATATTCACTGAAATATGTGACATTTACAGCAACCAATACCTGTTTTATAGACAAACGAGCAGGTGGATTTCAATAATAAAAAATTTTATTATACCTCATTATAAATATTCTGAAGAACGCGTTATCTGATTAGTTCTAAGTTATCACGTGATCGGGCCGTAAAACTTCATATTTCCCGGCCGTCGACACGCTTTTCATCATATTCCATCTCTTCGGAACACCTAGTGTATTAACCCGCAATGTAGTTCTTGTTCGTTGAACGAAAACTCCCGAGAGAAGTAGACGTCACAATAGCCTAGTTTACGTTACAAAACTTATGATAATGTGTTGAACAAAGGGTTTTATATAGTAACTTAAAAATTGTTACTAAAAATTAATAACGTAAAAATTGAAAATGAATTTGAGAGAGGTGCCGAATTTGAAAGTTTATGTTTATTTCAAGGGTTTTGCTTGTTTCGGTATAATAAACAATTTATTGCATGAATGTTCGGAAAACATGAAGACGTATTCAGCCAAGAAATATCATATTCTTCTCGGGCGAAGCCCTCGGGGAATATGATTTTTCTTGGCTGAATAAGTCTTCATATTTCCCTCACTATCATGCAATAAATGTGTAATATAATGGGCATAAAAAATGGGTACCGTCCTTGCCAACAAAAATTATAACAACTTATGTACTGTTCGCCAAATTTCAACAAATAATATTTGATGATGTATGATTGACTTTAAGACACATAGAAAATTTGATAGATATCATATCGGGAGTAGTTTACACTGTTTTTAAGAAACGTTTGACGGTAAAAAAAAAAAAAAGCTTGGTACTCAAAGGTCACACTATATTTTGAAAAATGAGTGAAAACGACAGCGTGTACGACAGTCTTTTCACAATTATTGATTAATGATTATCAAATATCAGTAATTGTAGTTATCCACGTTTGTTTTATATTCAAACAGATAATGGAACTTGAATCTATTGCTTAAAACCCTCAAAACAAAATTTATCATAAGATATACTCCAGTACTTGAAAACAGCGAAGGTCTGACAAGAGCAAAGGTATGCAAGAGCAGAAAGGTTTATGTGCAATTTTCTTAAATATTAGTGGTATCGTTGTTCAAATTCGTATTCGGGGAGACAGTTTAATTTCTGGAGGAGTCTAGAAAGCAATTTTTTTTGCAAAAAATCGAAAGGTTTATTAGAGGAAGGACCCAAAATCAGGAATCCACTACAATGAACTTCTTCATGACAGCGTCCAAACCCGCATGCCCAGAAGAGTAAAGGGGTTTTCGGGATAAACAGAAAGTTAATGTTTTTTCACATTAACAATTTTCGCCAGATCTTTGACCTTTTGACTTGTTTCTACTTCCAAATTTGAAAGTAACACCTTTCAGAAGGAAGAAACAAGTCCAGGAAATCATTTTATTATATACCTAATGTGTATCATTATCTGTTGAATTTACGTTATCACGTGACGTCGTGATTCGATTTTTCGGATCACCAACATGTTGTTTTCTGAATCCATATCACTACTCTCTGAAACTGATGACGTAGTACGCAAAAATATGACGTTATTTTTCTTGCGCGTTAAAAAGTCCCTTGTAATTATGCTTTGTTTTATGAATAAATGTTATGCAATTGATCTCTAAAGTTTTCTTTTGCTATATTTTGCTAGTTATGAGGGGGTATATAATAAATTTATTATTATAACAGTAACTTGATCCGAAGAGCCGTATCATGTCTCGTTGTCAGGCGCGGATCATCAGATGAAACTCGACGCTTCGCGTCTCGTTAGATCTGATGATCTGCGCCTGTCAACTCGACGTGATACGACCCTTCGGATCAAGTTACTGTTATAATAATATATATGGATCTGCCATTTTCCAGTATACTAAGGGTCATACCCAAAAAATGAGTTCTAAAAACAATCAGAAATTGGATAAAAAATGTTACGGACATGTGTTTTGATTAAAAGAGATAAATAAATAAAATCATGGAGACTAAATCATTGAAAACTTCTTTTGCTTCTTTCTGAGCACCGAGGACATTACTAGTATTTATTGAACAGCCCTCGTAATTAATTGATATAAGTACAGAGCCATTTTCTGCATAAGATGGCTCTTGCTCTTTGCATAATTAATATAAGATTACATCTGGTTGTTTTACAACATCAACATAATGATTAAAGTTCAGAATCTATAATTTCGAAAATAAGCTCTATAATTAATATGTAAAAAAGAAACTGCACCATAGAAACCGGTACCAAAAATTGTTTGTGATTCCCTGTGCGGGTAAGTGTTCGAAAACGTCCGTCGGACACTGTTTATAGAAATCTCAACAAAACCAAAAGAGTGCACATTATAATGCATATGAGGTATAATGCGTTTCTATATAAATGAGGTATTAAAAGTTTAAGTTCAATATTAAACTATAACAAGGTTCGTCATGGTCGCTGTATTGAATTCTTCGATTCACTCACTTAAAGTCGATTTTTGTCTTCAATGTGTTAAAAATAAATGGATGGATATGTAGTCGTTCTCATCATGTACGTACATGTACACGTACTTATTATAACTGGGCAAAGTCGCTGTCCTAAAAAGTGTTAATGAAATTACAGGGATAACAATTTTATTAAATAAATATAGCCTTTTGATGAGGTCGATCCATAGATATATCGACTTCACAGAAAGGCATATTGTGCGAGCTCGATATGCTTTTCTAAGAAGTCGATATACATGTATCTACATGTATAAATTGACCTCGTCAAAGTGCTACATTTGATATATTATTTTAACGGGCATTGACAGAATAAAATTTGGAAGAAGCCAAATTATTTTTTCTCTTTTCTTTTTTAATACTTAGAGACTACAGATCAAAATTAATTTAATTGTGCTCTTTAATTTAATTCTTTTTCCTTTATATTAATAGAGTATTACAGAGAAATGAATCATTTAAAAGCTACATTTGTTTTATGTATTTTATTGATTTTTGAAAAACATTATGTTTCTACATAAAGTAGATCCTTATTCTAGACACTGCTACGTTTTACCAATTACTGTATTAGTAAGAGAACATCAGAATTATAATTAGTAGTTTAAGTTTTATTCTTCAAAAACATTAAGTCATACACTGCATTAGCTCTTGCTAACAGAAAATTATTCCCATTTTAGAAACATCAAATCGATATGCATATCATAACTTATAAGTATTTTCACAAGTCTTTATGCTGTTATATAATTGATCATGTGATCAAGTTTGAGCCAATCAGAGAGCTTGGAAGAAATGAGAAAAATATATTCCAACTTATACTTGTTCTTTCTATACCGAATTTGGTTATCTTGTCTAGCTATGGGAAGGGATACAATGACTAGAGAAATGAGGAGAATAGCTCAGGACACCATGAGAACATACAGTGCAGAGATGAGACCGGATGAACAGAAAGGTACGTGTACACTTTAAATTTACAGTTGAAGTTGAGATCAAGTAATAATATTAATCGTGGAATACTATGAAGTTTAACCAGTATAGAAGTTTGTGTTATTACTTATCTTTTTGTAGCCAGTGAGGTCGTTAAAGAATGTCGGATGTCAAAACATATGTGTCAGATCAAACAGTAAAATAGGAGGTGCCCAATGGCAATATGTAATAAATATTCTGTGAAAGTTTCATCAAATTTCATTCGGTGGTATGAGAGGAGTTGCGGACAAGAGATGGGTACCCCAAAGCGTAACAGACAGACGGACGGATACCGATTACTATATATATACCCTCGCGCTTTTTAAGCGTGGGTTAATGATAGGTTTATAATTTTTCAACTTCTTCACTTTTGTTTACATAAAGAAAAGTGGTAGCATCGCAATATGAGTGAAATATTATCGAGGGGAACGTAAAACATTTCACAAACAGAGAAAACCCCATTTGCTGCCAAAATGACAGCTTTCTAAAAGTTGTATTTAGATTAGAGTAACTGGAATTTAATTACTAGTTTTCAGGTGGTAATCCAACTAACACGCATACCTCCCTTCTATGGAGGAAGTTCTTCAAAATTATATAGCAGCAGCGAAGGAGGAATTTAATGAGTTCTTTGGAACAATATATATTCATGTTCGATAGTGTCAAACTTTTACACTAATACATGGTTAAATAAATGGTTTCTAATTAAGCCTTTATTAAACAGTTCTAATAGATGTAATAAGAATAAATTAACCCACCAACAACATGTATTGTACGTTATAACTCTTCACATGTCCCTATGCTAAAAAAAGTCTTTAGAGACATTAAATACAATAAATACTAATAAAACAAATGGGATGGGACACTAAGAAAGGGGTGAGAGAGGCCCTGTGGAGTTTGATTTAAAATTTCATTGCAAAAGCTTTAAATCTTCTTGAAATATCTCCAGGACACGAAAGTTCCATGCACAGACAGAATGTAAAAATTTACCTTTAACTTTTACCTTTTGACCTCCTAATTAATATAGGGGTCTTCCATAGGCCAAAGGGAGTTGTTATGTAAAATTTCATTTCAAAAGCTCAAAGGGTTCTTGAGATATCGCGCGGAAACGAAAGTGTTATTACAGAGAGAATTTTTTATGAATTTTTTGGCCTTTGACCTTTTGACCTCAAAATCAATAGGGTTCTTCTTTGAGTCATAGGAAGTTGCTAGTATGTTGATTGTTTTCCACTGAGTTGATAAGTGAGAGTTATTCACAAGACCGCCACATTGTAAGTCATCATTCCCAAGCCTGGGGATCATAAAAGTTAGACGAGCTCACTTTTGATCTCAGTCTCACTTTTCCTCTATATATTCCTTTGGTAAAAGTGAGACTGAGATCAAAAGTGAGCTTGTCTAAGTTTTATGGCCCTCTGGCCAGATCCCTTTATTATTTAACCAAGTTCATTTTGTTATACTGGATACTGAGGTAAAGTTAAGTATATTTTTCTTATGAATATACATTTTTCAAAGCCTGTATTAATTGATCATAATTTTAAAATTGTAAATATTTTGCCCCATATATATTTTTTGCATCCATGTTTAAAATGTGTTGCTCAAAGAGGAAAATTCACTACTTTGTCCTACAAGTTAACTTCCAGACAAAATATGTCATAAGAAAACGGTCAAAAGCATCAGATGCATAAAAGTCATTTTTTCAAATTGGAAATCTTTAGAGAAGTAAACCAAGATTTCTTGTAACCGAGGTCTTTATAACCTTGGTAAATGTAGTTATACTTTTTTTCTAATATTACAGGTAAAAGAAACAAGACGGGAGCAAATTAACCCTTTAACCCTCAGAGACTCATATGGACGCACTGTCACCATCACAGATAATAAACTGTTGGCGTTTTGTAAATAAATGAGATACAACAAAACAATTGATATTTTCTTAAACTATAGAGAAGGGACTGAACATTTTGCCACACAAAGTTTTTCTATGAGATATTAAGATATTATCGTTAACTTGAAGTGAATATTGAATATCCTACCTGGTAGTTGAAAAAAATGCGCACAAATGACTGATTTTGTGCTATCTTCTGTTTGCTATATCTACTGGATTATAGTTTTAATTTTTTTTCATTTATACACAAGATTGCCACTTTTCCTAAGTATTAAGAATAAAATTAAGATTTGTGACAGTGCAAGGATGTGTCAATCAAACCCGCAAAAAAATTTGAAGTTTTAATAACTTTTGAATTAAGGTAAGTCACTCCTCAAATTTCTTATATCAAGGATTTTTTGAGAAGTATATTTTGGATAAGTACTCATAAAGTGTGACTCAAAATCGCAGAGAAAATAGATGGTCAGTGTGCATCGTACTGATGTATGGTACATTTAAGTTGACCTATTTGCACTTAAATTTTAACTCCTTAGTTTATTACTTTTATACAATTATCTCTTATTATAGGTTTGCAGCTGTAACCATGGCAATAAATTTATTCTTACTTTACATAAAATAGTTTGAATAATATTTATCATTGATCAAATCTGCAAATTAATGCGCGTAAATAATTATGTGACCTTTATGCACTTAAATATAACCTATTTTGGGTATTAGAAAAGTAAAAAAGCAATATGATATTTTCTTATATCAAGCTTTGTATGATTTAAGTGCTGATCAGTCATAAGCATCGAGAAGTTTAAAATAATGAAAGAAAAAGTTGGGGTCAGTGATGTTAATTTTGAAATATTGGATAAAATATGTGATTTTCAGGCAAAAAATGGTGTAAAATTTATCTTGACTTCTTTGATATATCTCATGTTTTTTGCAAAGTTTGTTGAAGGAAGATCTAAAACTTATTCTAAAAATTTAGATTAAGACCTATATCAAATATTCCTATCAATATCATAACGGAAAATATTCTCCGAGTAAAAGTATGTGAGGCTAAAGTTTCAAGACGTTAAATTTAATAAAATGCAGATTTGCAGAAATTTCTGCTAAATATCCTTCCACCACGAAAAATAGTCCCTAATAAATCTTGCTTCTTTGAAGATTTTTAAGCAGATTTTTCTTTGATTGTTAAAAAATATACATTGTTGAATATAATTATTTTATAAAAATTGAATTTTGATAAATATTTTTGAAGTTAGAGGTTCTGCGTGAACTTTTCTAAAAAGCTGACGAGTGACTTACCTTAAATAAGATTTTTAATTTATTATTTCGTGAAATGCTATAAAAATACACATCTCGAAATATTATACAGAAAATATTAACTTCAAATCTGTGTCCATGCACCTTTAAGTGCTGTCTGTGATTTATAATAAATATCTCAAGCCATGGTCCTTAGTCCACTTTTTGCCTCTAGAATGGAAGTCGATCTTATTCTTACATTTAAGCTGTGGTTAGATAGTTTTGCACTAGAAAAAGCGAAGTGTGGGTCAACTGAGCAACATTTTTGAAGTGTGTGTATTTTTACCGCATATAATTAAGCATAAATACGATGCGTCCTTATAAAAAATTCGGTGAAATTGCTTTGCATAAGCCTGCACTTATATGTTTCTTACCCCCTGAATAAAACATAACTATGATTTCTTTCGTTTGAAGAACGAATTAGACAGAAATCAATTTCTATTTGGTGTGATAATAAATTACTTAATCGGAATAACAAGGTTTTCATTCGGATACCTGGTGAATATCATGTGGTTCTTTAGAACCGGTCTCGTTAGCAAGCAATCGCATCATCTCGGGTATTTCCGTCAGAGATCGAAAAACAATCTCGAATGTATTAATATCACCGGATGTTAAAAATTTATACATCTTCCTGTTATTCAAATATAAAATAGACGGAGATAGAAGTTCCTTCTATAGTATATTTTAGGTGATGTCATTACATTGAATAAAGTTAAACTCCATATTCCACAGATGAAAAGTCTCCATGCATTTATCAAAGATCGTGAAAAGGGGGAGTTGTAATGGCGTCTTCCTTACTACATTCGAGGTCGTTTTTCTGCTAGTGGGAAAGGCCCAAGAAGTTGTGATTGGTTAGCAAGGCCATATAAGAGGTAAAAAGTGGTTTAAATACCAGTTTAGGACGACACGTAGAGCACGATATAGTTTTAATTTTATCATGATTTATTCAATCCAACATAAACATGTATCTACAAATTGATTTTCATATTTTGCATATATTATGTACACTGTACAAATAAAGCTGTTGCATGTCATTGATATGTCCAATGGTGTGTTTGTTTTTTATTGCACCTTCATTTGAAAGTAATGAATGGATTTAGAGTAGAATAGCAATTTCACAAATACATGTACCCTGGGGCAGAAATTATACATGATCGAGAGCATGACCCAAACGAACTATATTGTTTGGGGTGGGGGGTCACGCCACGAGAATACTCTTTTTGGTGTTTATTTTATAAATTATAAGGCTCAAGTGAGCTTTTCTGATCAAAATTTGTCCGTTGTCTGTCGTCGTTGTCGTCGTCGTACACTTTCCACTTTTTCATCTTCTTCTCAAGAATCACTGAGCCAATCTCAACCAAACTTGCAACAAAGAATCTGTAGTTAAAGGGGATTCAAGTTTGTACAAATGAAGGGCCACGCCCTTTTCCAAGGGGAGATAATTATGAATTGGTGAAAAATTAATGGCATTTTTGCAAAAAATTTCTCAAGAACCACTGGGCCAAGAAAGATGAAACTCATGTTAAATCATTTTCTGGTAGTGTAGATTCAAGTTTTATCAAATCATGACCCCCGGGGGCAGGGTGGGGCCACAATGGCCAATCAAAGTTTAACATATTTGGAGTATACAGGGAAAATCTTTAAAAATCTTCTTCTCAAGAACCACTGGGCCAGGAAAGATGAAACTCATGTCGAAGCATCCTCAGGTAGGTAGTGTAGATTCAAGTTTGTTCAAATCATGACCCCCGGGGGTAGGGCGGGGCCACAATGGCTGATCAAAGTTTTACATAAATCTTTAAAAATCGTTTTCTAAAGCCATGATTAGTCATATTTATATGGAATCATTCTCAGGTAGTGTAGATTCTAGTTTGTTTAAGTTATAACCCCAAGGGATAGAGTGTGGTCACAATGAGGATCCAAGTTTTACATTAAAATATAATTCAAATTTTCTTCTCAAGAATAGCAAAACCATGATTACTGATACTAGTATTTATATAGAAGCATTTTCGTGTAGTGTAGAATTGAGTTTGTACAAATTCTGATTTAATTTTGTTCAAATCATGGCCCTTTGGGGTAGGGAAACAATGGGGAATCAAATTCAAAATTTTATGTTAGGTTATATATAGGAAATTTTTTTTTAAATCTTTTTATCAAGAACAGTAAAGTCATATGATGTATCAATATGAAGGCATTCTCAATTAGTAAACTTATCAGTTCTGATCTGATTTGTGCTTTTTCTTAGCCGATTTGCTCATGTGAGCGATGTGGCCCCTGGGCCTCTTGTTTTGCAGGTGTAATTAGTTTCTACGCACAGCTAAGCTTTTGGTTAAACACTGAATTTTGGGTGTTCCGTATATACCTGATCATGCAGTATAAAGGGCTCACAGTTTGTACGATTCAAAGGGAATCCTTACTCCTCCTATAGGCACCTTATCCTATATTTGAAATTCCGAGGGTTCTCTGGGGGTTTTCCTGGTCACAATTTTTTATTGTATACTTGTGATTTGTATTGCATTATATTCTTTTTAAGTAAACAACTGGTCGTTGTCCTCGCCTTCTTTTCACCAGTAAAAAGCTCCAAAAAGTCATATACACTTGTGTTAATACGTGTGCTGTAAGTCGTTATAATTAAATCACGATGCAGATTTACACTTTTTTTTCAATTCCTTGGGGATGGGGGGGGGGGGGGTTAGTTCAAAGTCTGAAGGACATTACATTAACCCTGGGACCACATATTGCACAATTTTCAGAGGAACATTTACTCATCAAAAATGGTCGATTAATACCAAAGCGCGGATTTCAAAACATTAATTCTTTTCAAGTATATAATCATTCTACCCATCCCCACACAAAATACCCTGACCAATGGGCCATGAAAATCACCTTTTTGGAAGAGGCACCTTTCCTCATCATAACAATGTACGAAAATCAAAGGCATAATGTCCAGGTGCAGAGGAGAATATTTTTTTTAAAAATTGAAGCATTTTCACTGCATAGAGTTCGTAACAACCCCAGAACCTCTGCTTTTCAATGAACAAAAATATTTTATAACGGTCATCAAAAATGTGTACCGTCCTTGGCGACTTAGAAAACAACCAATGTACTATTTGTCGAAATTCCAGAAATTGTCACTGATGATGTTTGACTTTAAATCACATCGTTTCTAAAGAAATGGGCGTGTCGTTATGTTATAATTGACGTTCAAAACATGACTCGGAACGTTTCGTCCAAATGGAAAATTTTACCATTTCAATGCGCTTCATTGTATCTAATGTATCAGTATAAGTATACCGTATCATGTTTTAAACGTCAATTAAAACATAAAATTGGATAAAAATGTTACCATGTTAAAAAGCCTAAAATTTGTAATATTCATATTTTTTTATTACCAAAAACATACTAGTATTTCCTTGACTTTTTCAGAATTAATTGACTATTTTGAAGAAAAAAAGCATTCAAAGGACAAGAGTAACTACTGCTCCAGTTAGGACTTCATTGCATTCACGAGGAGCAGTAATTACTCTTGCCCTTTGAATGCTTTTTTTCAAAATAGTCGATTAATTCTGAAAGCAGTTTACCCTGTATACAGTATATACATGTACATAAGACAGTACATGTAGGAATAAATTGAAAAGGACATACTAGAAGTATATAAAAGGTTTATTGTTGCATAGGATGCTAAGACGTCCATGACTGTGTTTTGTGAAAATGTCAAATCACATTCACAATACTTTGCTGTTGACTTGAAAGATTCCCAACATTATTGTCATAGTAACCATGTTAATAATTCCAGCCATCTTGCATTGTTTTTTAATACAGTATTCACTCATTGTCTTTGGAATGGTGCACTCAACGTTCGTTAATTAGTTTAATGATAAATCTTTTCAAGTAGACTTACTTTCATTGACAAAATATGATCAGGTAAATATTTTTAAAATATTGTATAGAAGCTGCTGGTACATTATATTCTGAAGACAAAATGAAGATTTTGTCAGGAGTTGAGAAGTCTTGGAATAAAAGAAAGAAAGAAAAGTAGCACTTGTGTTTAAAAAAAAAGGAAGATTACTCCGTCTGTTTTTGGAGTAAAAGGTCAATGTAGGCCACGGAAATAAGATGATCTGAGGGCACGCCCAGTTCCTCCATCAATGCCATGGCAACCTCCTGCCCCTCTTCTAAGGACTGTCCCTCTTTAAGCTCCACCTATCATATTTCAAGAAGGAGACTTTTACCTTTATTATTGAAACACCTGTAGTTTACATGGTAATGAGGCTATATGGTAAAATGTACATTATATAAATCAGCAGAATGCAAATTCAATGGCAGGTCAAGGGGCCCCCTCCTATCAGTTTAATTGTTTCTACCTGGCCCATTGGTAAATTTAAAATGTTATTGAAATTAACTTCATCGATTTTTAAAATAAAAACTTGTTGTCAATTTAGTTAATATAAATTCAGTTTATGTACCCTCTTATATATATATACAAAGTAATGACATACCTCTAATTCCATAAAGTTCCCGACTCCTTTTCCATGGTCCACATGAATTCTGGTCTGGCCCACCTGATGGTAGTTCCGCACATTCTTCAATATTCCTTTTATTCCAAGAGCTCTTTTCAAAGTTTCCTAAATTAATTCATATACTGCCTCATCAAAAGAAATGCATTTAAGAAACATAGGTAATCAAAGATTACGAAGATCACCTCGACGAATGCTATCAGTGTACGTAATGCAAATCTCACAACATATTTTCTTAACAGTTAGAATTCATCCTGACAACAATATTCTTGCAAGTTCTGTTTAACCCTCACATGGCGTATACACATTTCTACACGTCTAGCATGAAAAACATATATAGTGTAAAGAAATATTCATAACTTTGTTAATACTGCATATCTAGGACTAGGAAGTTCATTGGAATTGATCTGTTCCAAAAACTTTAACCTGGTGTCTTGTTTGGAAAATATAGTTCAGATCCAGCATCCGAAGCAAGTCTGGTAGTGTCCATCCCTAGATGCATCATCCATGCAAGTTTGATTCAGGTAGGGCTTATAATTACTTGGGAATGAAAATGTAGGTCAGATCCAGCATCCAAAGCAAGTCTGGTAGTGTCCATCCCTAGATGCATCATCCATGCAAGTTTGGTTCAGGTATAGGGCTTACAATTACTTAGGAATGAAAATGTAGGTCAGATCCAGCATCAGAAGCAAGTCTGGTAGTGTCCATTCTTAGATGCATCATCCATGCAAGTTTGGTTCAGGTAGGGCTTAAAGTTATTTGGGAATGAAAATGTAGGTCAGATCCAGCATGCAAAGCAAGTCTGGTAGTGTCCATTCCTATATGCATCGTCCATGCAAGTTTGGTTCAGGTAGGTCTTATAGTTACTCGGGAATGAAAATGTAGGTAAGGTCCAGCATCCGAAGCAAATCTGGCAATCTGATTAAAATACAGATCTCTACATAGCGCAAAGCTCTCTTCACTTTGCGCTATGTAGATATCTGTATTTTAATCAGATTGCAAATCTGGTAGTGTCCAATCTTATACCCCATTCATACGACATGATTTACATACCTCAGTATATTTTACACATAAGTAAATCTACTCACGTGTGCAATTTTTGTCGTATGAATGGATTTACTCATATGCAAATTCTGCACAGTGGAGTAAATTTACACTTGGTTAGGACTAGGTGCAAATTAACTTTTGCATACCTTTTGTAGCAAATTATTAGTTCATGTGTGTAAATTTTGTTGTATGAACACGCAGCAAATTTACTTATGTATGTATTTTGTTTTGTTTATTGCATAAATCTCCATTTTAAGTGTTGTTTCGGTTGTGTATGCATTGGTACGTAAAATAGAAGTTAGTAAACATGGTGGCTAAAAGGTAAAACTCAAACAATGAGCCATTATCTCCTCCAAGATAAATTTTCGAATTTGCAAAAAACGAGGGCATCTTAAATTGCACCCTTTCTGGCAAACTTTTGTTTATATCTTTAAAGATAATGATAGTTGTGGTCGCTAACAAGTGCCCTGTAGGATCCGGGCAATAAGTACTGCCCTTACTATACAAGTTGTCTCCTAGTTTGGAATGCCCCGAAGCTATGATAGGAACATGCAGTCCATCAATTGCTCGGTCCCAACTACCGTTTAGCTCTTGATGACTTTCTTCTACCCTTCTCTGTTTTTATTCGAGACAAACTACTCACATATAAGTTAATGTTACAGGAATTTCAATAAACTCGTTGAAAGTAAGCATTTGTAAGTATCCTCTTTGGAACACAACCCCATAATGTCAAGGGGTTCATGTTAATTTTCTTTTCACATATTTGTATTGTTCAAAGATTTTTTGAGATCATTCACTTTAGTTTTTTTCATCCTTTTCATTCTCCTTGAAATACATAATTACACGACTGACGTTTTTCACACTAATTGTTAGTCAATTGTGTATACATGTTCACTGAACATATGATGGATTTTTTCGTTATTTCCCGATCATGGCAATGATCACACGGCGGGTGTGACTGGTCGGCAGAGGATGCTCACTCCTCAATGGCACCTGATCCCATCTTTGATGTTTTGGAAGTCCATGTTTGCTCTGCTCCTATTTTGTTTTGTTTTTAATATGGACTTTGATATTGAATATTGTTCGTTATCTCTATATCCTTCCTGTATCATTTTCAAGAGGATACTAGTATTTTATAATGGCCTCACACACTTGATGTACTGTAGATCTCCAAAAACCTAAAAGATTCCAATCATCCTACCTCTGCTGAAGACGCCAATCAGTATAGATGGCAACAGTCATCTTTTTTCTTTACATCCTACGTTTCTTACAGTAAATAAAAATTTAAATAATTTTTTCTTCTTTGTGTGTAAATTCTTATACCATTCTTTGTCCTTAAAACATTAACTTCCTTTTCTTTCGTACCAAAAAAAAATATATTAATAAGTGGATCGGATTTCCACCCTAGTCTTTTAGGAACATTCAAAAGTTAGGTTTTTACCCAAACAGTAAGAAAATACACTTTTTCTATAAAAATTCACAATTTTGAATCTGTCCATCTCCTTATTTCATATGAAAATATGAGGATTTACTAAGCGTACATAAATCTCGCCTGAACGCATAGCAATTTAACTTTTACTTACGTGTGTAGATTTACTTATATGTAAATTTGCACACATAAGCAAATTTTCGTCGTATGAATGGGGTATTAGATGCATTTATAACCCATGCAAGTTTGGTCTGGATAGGGCTTATAGTTCCTTGGGAATGGACCTGCTCAAAATCTTTAACCTGGTCACTCATCTGGAAAATGTAGGTCAAATTCAGCTTCAGAAACAAATCTGGTAGTGTCCATCCCTAGATGCATCATCCATGCAAGTTTGGTCCTAGTAGGGCTTATAGTTCCATGGGAATAGACCTGCTCCTAAAGTTTTAACCTGGTCACTCATCTGGAAAATGTAGTTCAGATCCAGCATCCGAAGCAAGTCTGGTAGTGTCCATCTCTAGATGCATCATCCATGCAAGTTTGGTCAAGGTAGGACTAATAGTTACTTGGGAATTGACCTGCTTAAAAACTTCAACCTGGTCACTCATCTAAAATATATAGGTCAGATCCAGAATTCGAAGCAAGTCTGGTAGTGTCCATCTCTAGATGAATCATCAATGCAAGTTTGGACAAGGTAGGGCTTAATGTTCCTTGTGAGTGGACCTGCTCCAAAAATTTTAACCTGGTCACTCATCTGGAAAATGTAGGTCAGATCCAGCATCCGAAGCAAGTCTGGTTGTGTTCATCCCTAGATGCATCACCCATGCAAGTTTGGTCCAGGTAGGGCCTTTAGTGACTTGGGAATGGACTTGCTCCTAAAATTTTAACCTGGGACGCCGACACCAACACCGGGGGTATAGCATAATCTCATCTCGACGAGGTGAGGTAAAAATCACTGAATCAATAGAAAATCTGTAAAGACCATCTGGCTTTGTGTTACTAGAAATCAAATGCTGCTACTCAAGTTTAAAAAGGGGGAATGAGGAGGGGTACGATACCTTTAGACCCACTGGATCACTTATAAAGGAGGTGGCAAAGTCACTCAGCTTACCCTCTTCCTGATCAGGGCGCTCGTAAAAACATAACTCTGATCTCTGCAAAATTGACAGGAGTAAGCTTACAGTTAATTACTCACAAGCAAAATATGATGTGTTTCTAAAAGACAATAGCATTGCATTCGTTTTAAAACATGTTTTCTATGTACATATTAACCACACAAGTTACCTGCAAATTATTGACAAACATAAAAAAAATTGAAATTAAGTTTAAAATGAAGTTATAATGAACTAGGTACAACTGACAGACATACTGTATGTGTACTTAAAATAGCGAGCTTCATATTTTAGCGGCTTTGGCACAGCAAGGATGCGCTAATTCATGAATATCACTAAGAATACATTTATAAATAGAATATATGGCACAAACATTTGTAGCACTAATTCATGATTATGCCAACAACTCTATACCCATTGATTGCACTAGATTTTGAATACGCCAGATTATGTACACGTAGAGTATCTAAACTTGTATTTGTTAAGAAAAGCACCACCAATTAAATGAGTATCAACCCAAGACAAAAACAGAATTGAAATTTTAATATGTCAGCTTAAAATGTTAAGTTTAAAATACCTTGTTTTCTGTATTCCGTAACTTTAACCTTCCTTGGGGAACATTAAAGAAAATGTCCTCCTGAACTAAGATTTCTCCCTCAGATTGGCTTTTAACTTTCACTTTCTCTTTGAATGCTTCAAGGTCACCAATTCTGGCTTTAACATCTACTGTATTTGGCATGGTACATGTGTATATCCTACAAAATGAAATACAACAGTACATGAAATTAACGATAAGGACAGAGCTATTAATATTGTATATATATTGTAATGAAAAATGTCAAGATTTAAAAAAAATTGTATAAATTTGGTACAAATGCTAATTTTTCCTTTATTCTACAGTTTTTTGTTATAAATGTGAGCTCTGTACCTCTTTTTATTAGTGGAGAAGACAATAAATTAAGTCCTATACTATAAAAGCAGTGTAATAATTTGACAATGTTATAAAATTGACAAGTAAACTTCCTGGTTGGTGGTATGCATGGCACTCAGAACAAAGGAAAATATGGTCTTCAATTTTTTTTACAACACTATATGTAAAACAAAAATAAAAGGACTCTCAATGGATCTAGGCATTAATAAAATCTGTACATGCAACTTGCATTTACTGGAGTAAGGGAAGGTGCAGCAAGAATTTCAAAGTACAATTGTGCGGTATCTATATCTAATGTAAATAATAGCTTGAATGAGGAAGGGAGCAACCTGCTACACTAACAAGGACGTGGTCAATTCAGGGAAAGTGGTTGTATATGCATCTTTATAAACTAAATAGCATTCATCTTATGCATTTTCAATGGTTCAGGCACAAGTTGTTATGTGCCATTTCTAAATCATGAAACCAATTTGCACCTTTTATCAATTTTCAGTCTCTCCCTAATCGTCTCTTTAAAGGTACTTGGACACAGATTTGAAGTTAATATTTTCTCATTTTTCCTGTATAGTATCACGAATTATATATTTTAATAGCATTTCACACAAAAATTAATTAAAAATCTTATTTCATTTAAAAGTTATTAAAACTTTAAATTTTTTGGCGGGTTTGATTGACACATCCTTGCACTTTCACAAATTTTAACTTTATTCTTAATCCTTAGGAAAAGTGGCAATTTTGATGTGTTTTAATGAGAAATATTAAAACTTTTATCAAGAAAAATAATTTTATTCAGAGTAGAAATGTTAGAAAGCAAAACACCTTCACAGGTATCGTCATTCCGAACTAAGAGATGCGTACAGAGTTTAGCAAATCGAGCACACTCGTGTTATGTACACAGTTGGCTCGAGTTCTGTTATTGTTTATATCTAGAATTCACCGGGTGCGTTCAATCGTCACAGTCTGCTTACCACAACTGCACGGACAGACAATATATTGTGTGTTTGTTTTGCTTTTGAACGTGTCTACTCTGAATTTTCTGGATTATAGTATTGATATTTTTCATTTATACAAAACGAGATTGCCACTTTTCCTAAGGATTAAGAATAAAATTAAATTTGTGATAGTGCAAGGTTATGTCAATCAAACCCGCCGAAAATTTTAAAGTTTTAATAACTTTTAAATGAAATAAGATTTTTAATTAATTTTTGTGTGAAATTCTATTAAAATATATAAGTCGTAATATTATAGAGAAAATAATAACTTCAAATCTGTGTCCAAGTACCTTTAAAAGTTAAATATCTTGCCATTATGTATAAGACTTTTCACCTTTGTAGAAGACTTGTTTTTCACCTGCATACTTGCATTTATTAAATTTCCCATTTTTGCCCACCCTTACCATAGAGTCCATTGAGGAAAAAAGGTGTTTGCAGAATGCTACATGTGTAATATAGAGTGATTATGCTTACTATGAGGAATTGTGCCCCCACCCTTCTCCAGTCAGCCATGATTTAAAACTTGATATTACATTACCTAATTGGAAGGCTAAGATGAGCTTTAAATACACACATCCCTTTTTATTTACTTTATGCCTGAAGCAGTTCATAACAACAACTATAACAAAACAAGAAACAAGCACAGTTTCCTTTTAATTTATGTAAGCAATACATTGTATCAATGTAAAAATAATAAAGCTCAATGAAACAATGAAAATTTAAGTCTCAAAACGTTGTTCCATACATTGATTTAAATGAAAAAATATAAATATCTTTAGTCTTGCTGATAAAATTGATTACATGATATTTAGACTTCTTGACCATTGAACACATTTTGATCTGGTCCCTATATTGCTTTCATCTCTATCCTTGAGATGATTGTGACTGCTTTTCAGTAAAAGGTCCATATAGGCCACAGAAATAAGGTCCTTCTTTGACACACCCAGTTTCCTCATGAGGTCATCTGCAATCTTCTGTCCCTCCTCAACGGACTGTCCCTCTGCATTTGTACCTGTATATGTAAATAGAGATTGTTCTATCTGACGTATCCGTATCCGTATCGAGATATGAAAGGCATCTCGATCCCGATGTCTAAACCATTTAATACAATTTCCATATCTGTTTGTCGTTAAATAAGCCACAGTCCATGTATTAGAAAATAGCAAATAGCAATTTTTGTATTAAAAATAATAAACTGCTGTACACCATTTCGTAATAAAAATTATCTAAAAAAAGAAAGAAAATGAAGTCAAGTATAAAATATTTTGTTTTATAATTATATTGTTTTAAAATTAATTTCATTTTGCTTCAAAATATTTGTAGGAAATCCCCTTTCTCTTTTTACTCTCGCTTAATATCTTTTATTGATTTTGTCTGTATTTTTCATTTGCCATGTAACGGCTTACCAATTACCCCCCCCCCCCGACCACCACCACACACAAACTGAAATACGAAATACGTTATCATCAACGCGATCGATAAAACGTTGTAGCCGTTTTTCAAGAGACTGTTCAAACTGATTTCATAATTAGCTTCAGGACCGTTATAAGTATTGAGTATATGCTTTGAAGAGCCTGTGTAACTTCCCCTCCCCTCACATTGGCGTCAGAAGCAAATTAAAAGTAGGGAGGGGGCTATTTGGAAGAGAAAAAATTAGCCCTGAAAAACCTTGACAGACAAAAAAGTACTAAAATACTACTATGTGTATGTGTGTGTGTGTGGGGGGGGGGGATGTCGAACTTTTTTCATTGCCATTTTTTTTCAAACACTAGTACTACCACTTACCCTTCTTTGACTGCAAAACAGCGTGCCTGTTGAAAGTGGGGAGGAGGCTTATCCTACCCTCAATGTTCAATGCATATATTAAGTGTATCTTTGCCAAAAAAAGTGGGAAGGGGGGGGCCCCCCCCGTACCGACGTCTGTCCCTCATGTGTGCATGCCTCACCATGTGCACACACAAAATTTGATAAGTTAAACGTCTTTTGACTTTCATTCATTAACATCATTTGTGGTTTAATGTAAAAACTATTTCATAATACGGTATTCAACTCTCTTTTTATGCACAGAATAAAATAATTATGGCTCAAAATTTTCAAAATAATACATCTTATTTTGCTAAGCCTACTTGTCCATCGTGCTAATTTTCTTTTCTTTTTTATCTTAAAGTTACTTTCTTTTTTATATAGTATATTGATTTGGCCGAGATCGAGATCAGTGTGCACAAATTATAGAATTGAAGAGAAGGAACTGCTTCAATGTAGCCAAGAAAAAAATTACACATTAAAGAAAAATTACAATGATAAAATTTCTAAGTTTTTCATGTTCAATTTCCAAGCTCATTGAAACCATATGGATACGCATAGGCGTCGGAACCGGGGAAGGGGGGGGGGCGCTTAATCCCCCTCCCACTTTTTTGCAAAGATGGACATAATATAAGGTATTTAAAATTGGGGTTTACCTTTTATGTTGGTTTAGCCCCCCCCCCTCCTTTCAATTAGCGCCCCCACTTTCTATTTCCTTCCGCCGCCCATGATATGGCTATCGACCTACAATTTAGGGAGTGTTTTCAAACCGCCCCAGAATTACCAGCTATCCAATTTTTTTTTTTGGAGGGGGGGGGGGGGGGACTATGACCATCAAATACCTGATAATGAATGGCATAGAAGATGATAAAAATGGAAAAGAGGATGGACATTTTCAGTGAATCACCCATACACATTTGTTTTGCCATACAATGTATGGTTAAATCTTTCCCAGTCAATGTACAACTACATGTATTTACAATTTACAAGTTTGAGTTTAAGAGGTTTAACTGTATATATCATTATATATTATTGGAGAAATGTCGTGTTCTTGTAAATGTTAGTTCGAGAATGAACAATGAGACCCTAATATTGAGAAAGAGAGAGAGAGCGAGAGAGAGAGAGCAAGCGAGAGAGAGAGGTGAATCTAGAAATATTTTCGAACTATTTTTTACACATTTAAATTAAAAAAAAACATACTTGTTTTTAGAATTTTATTTTTAAACTTTTAACCCCCCCCCTCCCCCATTAACAGGATGCATAAGTCGTGTACAGCAACTGATATGTTTTTATTAAGAATATCACACTACATATCATTTGTTAGTGAATGAGGTTAAAAACCAAACATGAAACGATGGAAATGTAACCAGATGGTTTATGCATCGGGATCGAGATGCCTCTCACACCTCGATACGTATACGGATACGGATACTTATACGGATACGTCAGATAGAACAATCTCTAATACAAAACATTTAGTCAAACTAGAGATATCCAGTGTTTAGAGTAAAATACTTTAAGAGTAAGTAATTTGACCTTCCATGTCTTTTCATGGTATTTGAGATATCAGTGTTCAAGATACCGAAGTTTAACTGTACAGCACTGACAGAAAACTACAGAGCCTCTTAGTCACTACATGATAACCTCGATCAATGCTTTACTCCCTCTCCCTTTCTCACCTATAATTACACTACTTATCCCACTTACTTATAGTAGTCAGTTAGTACTTGGATAGTAATAGATACAAAGACAGTACTTGACATGTTCATTTGCTACTTAACCACTTCAATCTCTATAAATCAGCAATTTTAGCTATCATTTAGTCACCTACATGTAGATTACAACCAGGTAATTATATTCACAATTTACTGACTTCTGTCACTATTCTGACCTTAATCACTACCTGCTGACCTTAGGCACTTGGTGATCTCAGCCACAACTTGCTGACCTCAGTCATTACTTGCTGACATCAGTCAACACTTGGTGATCTCAGTCACAACTTGCTGACCTCAGTCAGTACTTTCTGACCTTAGTCACTACTTGCTGACATTAATCACTACTTGCTTACCTTAGTCACTTGGAGACTTAAGTCACCACTTGGTGATCTTAGTGACAACCTGCAGACCTTAATCACTACTTGCTGACCCCTGTAACTACTTGCTGACCTTTATCACTACCTGCTGACCTTAGTCACTTGGTGACTTAAATCACTACTTGGTGATCTCAGGCACAACTTGCTGACATCAGTCACTATTGCTGACCTCAGTCACAAATTGCTGACCTCAGTCAGTACTTTCTGACCTTAGTCACTACTTGATGACCTTAATCATTACTTGCTGACATTCTACTTGCTAGCCACAACTTAGTGGCCTCAGTCACTACTTGCTGATCTCAGTCATTACTTGCTGACCTCAGTCACTACTTGCTGACCTCAGTCACTACTTGCTGACCTCTGTCTCTACTTGCTGACCTCTGTCACTACTTGCTGACCTCAGTCACTACTTGCTGACTTCAGTCGCTACTTCCCGACTTCAGTCACTACTTGCTGACCTCAGTCACTACTTGCTGACCTGTGTCAGTTCTTGCTGACCTCAGTCACTACATACTGACCTTAGTCACTACTTACTGACCTCAATCACTACTCAACATTCCTGTCTTGACCTTGTCACTTTTCTCTAATATACTTTTAAGAACCTCTTACCTCCAATTCCATGAAATCTCCCAGCCCCTCAACTTAAAATTGATTGATTTTATAAAATAACCCCAAAGATTTCTCAATGGGTCATAACAATTACCTGAGTTACAAAGAAAGAATGAACAATTAATAAATTTTACCTCCATTTAAACTGGTAAGCATTTGATTGCACATATCCTAACCAGAAAAAAGATTCCAAGATTTCCTGCCTATCACTCGTGTCCATGAAATCAAATGGCCCAGTGTAAGATATTGTTGCCTTGCTGGTTTTATTCACTTTTCCCTTTTCTTCAATTTTCTTATTTCCCCAGTAAATCAAGCTATTTCATATAATCCCGTTCTAACCTGAGTGGGTTGGGAGTCCATTCTAAAACCGTGTGTGTTCGATATTGATTGCATACTCGATATGTACAACGAGCGGTCAAGTTGAGCCTTATATATATGACACAGCCATGGGAGGAGTTTATATTTAATCCATTCATTTGATTGGCTGAGGTTCTGTTCTAAGTCAGTAAGATCATTTGAATTGTCATGAAGAATGGGCTCTGCTTCGCTCCGCCTGTTCTTCATGACGAAGATTCTTACTATTACATAAGGTAGCAGTAATGAATCAAACAAAGAAGACATCATATATAAAAGGTTTATTGCAAGTTTAGATGTACAGATACCCATGACTGTTTATGGTGAAAGTGTCCCATCACATTCACATTTCTATGCTGACAGTGGACTTGAAAGATTCCCAACATTATAGTCATTGTAACCATGTTAATAATTCCAGCCATGCCTGCATGGTTTTCTAATCCAGTCTCCACTCATTGTCTATGGAATGGTGCACTCATTGTTGGGCTATTAGTTTGATGATCAATCTTTCCTAAAAACCTTACTTTCATTCAGCTGCTTGTACTTTCTTTTTCTATAAAATGAAAAAGATATGAAGTTTAGAAGTCTTGGAATAAAAGAAAAGAAGAGAAAAGTAGCACTTGGGCTTGAAACTACATGTATACAACTGCAATAAAGTATTGATATTGGTGGGGTTCTATAACAAACTTAAAATAAAGATAAATTACTTAAATAAGTCTGTTTTTGGAGTAAAAGGTCAATGTAGGCCACGGAAATAAGATGATCTGAGGGCACGCCCAGTTCCTCCATTAATGCCATGGCAACCTCCTGCCCCTCTTCTAAGGACTGTCCCTCTCTAAGTTCTACCTATCATATTTGAAGAAGGAGACTTTTACCTTTATTATTGAAAAACCTGTAGTTTACATGGTAGTGAGGCTATTTGGTAAAATGCTCATTATATAAATCAGCAGAATGCAAATCCCATGGCAGGTAAAGGGGCCCCCTCTCAGTTTACTTGTAATACTACTTGGTCCAAAGGTAAAATTAAAAATGTTATTGAAATTAATTTTAAAGCTTTTTTGATAAAGTCTTTTTGTCAATTGAGTTTATATAAATTCAGTACATGTACTAATTTCTTTAAGTTAAATATCAGTATACCAATCATATTCAAAATTTTGAATATACTGGGTGGGAGTAAAATGCTGTCATGTTTTAAAATTTGTATTTACTTCCATACAGTTAATTCAAAATATAAAACAAGACATACCTCCAATTCCATAAAGTTCCCCAAACCTTCTACTTGGTCCACATGAATTCTAGTCTGGCCAATCTGAAAGTAGTTCCGCACCTTCTTCAAGATTCCTTTGATCCCAAGAGCTCTTTTCAAAGTTTCCTAGAATTAATTCATAATATACTGCCTCATCAAAAGAAATAAATTCTGTAAAAAAAAACAAACAAAAAACACTGAATCACTAGGAAATCTGTAAAGACCATCTGACTTTGTGTTACTGGTAATCAAATGCTGCTACTCGAGCAATTTAAAAAAGAAGAATGAGGAGGGATTCAATACCTTTAGACCCTCGGGATCACTTATAAAAGAGGTGGCAAAGTCACTCAGCTTCCCCTCTTCCTGATCAGGACGCTCATAAAAACATAACTCTGATCTCTGAAAAATTTACAAGAATAAACTTACAATTAATTACTCACAAGCATATATATTTGTCTTTCTGAAAGACAATAGCATTGCTTTCATGTTCATTCCCATGAATTAACCACACAAATTACAGATTAAAAATATCTGCAAATTATTGGCAAGCAAAAAAAAAATTGAAATAAAGTTTAAAATGAAGTTATAATGAACTAGGTAAAACTGACTAACAGCCAAACTTGCATTTGCTAAGAAAAGTACCACCAATTAAATAAGTATAGGCCTATCAACTCAAGACAAAAATAGAAGTGAAATTTTAATATGTCAGCTTAAAGAGTCCAATACCTTGTTCTCTGTATTTCGTAACTTTAACCTTCCTTGGGGAACATTAAAGAAAATATCCTCTTGAACTAAGACTTCTCCCTCGGATTGGCTTTTAACTTTCACTTTCTCTTTGAATGCTTCAAGGTCAAAAATTTTGGCTTTCACATCAACAGTAAATGGCATGGTACATGTGTATATCCTACAAAATGAAATGAAACAGTACATGAAATTAACGATAAGGACCAAGCAATTATTAATTTATATATCACAATGAAAAGAAATCAAGATTAGAAAATCAAAGGAACAAAATATCGTCATCAAATCTTGAAATTGTACAACCATGACAACACTATGTAAAACAAAAATAAAACGACTCTCATTGGACCTAGTCAATAATAAAATCTGTACATGCAACTTGCATTTATTGGAGTAAGGGAAGGTGCAGCAAGAAAAGTACAGCTGTGTTGTGTCTAATGTAAACAATAGCTGTAAAGGAAGGGAGATGAACCTGCTACAATGCAAAACAAGGAAGTGGTCAGTTCCGGAGAAGTAGACTTGTTTTTCATCTGCATACTTGCATTTATTAATTTTCTCATTTTTGCCCACCCTTACCATAGAGTCCATTGATGAAAAAAAGGTGTTTGCTTAAATTATTGATGGTCGACCCTTATTGATACATGTATATGGCACGCCAAATTCACAAAAATGAGATAAACCTAGTTTCACAATTGATAAACTAGGTTTATCGACTGTAAACTATAGTTTACAAACCGTAAACTATAGTTAACGATTCGTTAAGTATAGTTAACAATTCGTTAAGTATAGTTTTCATCTGTTAAACTATATTTAACGGTCGTTAACTATAGTTTACTAATGCTTATCTAAGTTTATCTGTCTGAATAAAGCATTAACAATAGATTTTGTTGATAAACATAGATTCACGTTTGTAAATTATAGTTTACAATCGTAAACTATAGTTAAGAGTTGTTAATCATAGTTTCACAAATCGTGAAACTATATTTATCAGATCGTTAACTATAGTTAACGGTTTGTAAACTATAGTTTACAAATCGTGAAACTGTATTTATCAGATAATCTATGTTTTGCAACCGCAAATGAATGTTTTCGATGTTAAGTATAGTTTACGGTTGTGAAACATAGATTATCGCGTTAACTATGGTTTACAGATGTAAAATATAGATTAACGTTGTTAAATACAGTTTACAGTCCGTAAACTATAGTTTACAACCGATAAACCTAGTTTATCAATTGTGAAACTATGATTAGCTCATTTTTGTGAATTCGGCGTGCCATACATGTATATTATAGTGATTTTGCTAACTATGAGAAATTGTGACCCCATCCTACGTATTCCAGGGAGCCATGATTTGAACAAACTTGATACTACATCACCTAACTTCGAAGGCTAAGTTGAGCTTTAAATACCCCCCTTTTTTTTAGCTCTACTGGTCAGAGACCAGAAGAGCTTATGCGACAGTAATGCGTCCGGCGTCCGTCCGTCTGTCTTTTTGTCTGTCTGTCTGTTTCAACAATTTTTCAAAATGCTACTCCTCCTACACTTTTGGTCTGATTTCAATATAACTTGGCACACAAGTAGACTACACTGAGATACATAATTCTGTATATCGGTTTCTGATTTCTACGGAAACCCGTTGGTGCCACGTACGAAAAATATTTTATCTGGCGGCCGCCACTTATTATTTGGCGTCCGCCACTTATATATCTGGCGGCCGCCACATAAATTATTTTGCAAAAGGTGAGTGTTATTGTATCTTTATTGGGTTAAGAAGATGGATGTTGACACAGCCGCTGCTTATTGATAAAAAAGTTCATGATATAAAACGAATTCTGAAATATTGGAACACCATTCTTAGAAATCCAGAATGCAAAACTTTATTTAATTTTCAATCAATCATAGCTTACAGCAAACACAAGAATATAGGCGAAGAGATGATCCGGTCTCACCTAAAACTAACACCATGATTTATGTTTGTGACCCCTGATGAGGCCTCTTAATAGCCGAAACTACTTGCATAATTCAAATCAAATATTAATCTGCTCTATACAAAAACATATCTACAATGTAATATAAGTGTTGTTTAGAGTGGCGGGTCCTAATAAATCTCTTACAAGTTTGGTTGATTGATATCGCTAATTTTCGCTTATTTTCACACTGTATCCACCTCTGAAATCACACGTTAAAACATGCGCGCGCATCAGGAAGCAAGGTGTTATCAGATAAATTATGTGGCGGCCGCCAGATATTATGTGGCGGCCGCCAGATAAATATGTGGCGGTCGCCAGATATTATGTAGCGGCCGCCAGGTAAATATATGGCGGCCGCCAGATATTATGTAGCGGCCGCAAGATAAATATGTGGCAGCCGCCAGGTATTATGTAGCGGCCGCCAGATAAATATGTAGCAGCCGCCAGATAAATATATGGCAGCCGCCATATAAATTATTTTGCAGCTGCCATATGAATTTTTTGGCGGCCGCCAGATAATTTTGTGGCGGCCGCCACTTATATATCTGGCGGCCGCCAAATAATAAGTGGTGGTCGTCAGATATATAAGTGGCAGCCGTCAAATAATAAGTGGCGGCCGCGAGATAAAATATTTTTCGTACGTGGCACCAACGGGCTTCCGTAGATTTCCATGAACGGTTTTGCCGTGGATACTGAAAATAGAAATTTCTGTGAAATACTTTTAAAATGGGGTGTTGCTAAAACGCGGAACGGAACAGAAAATTTGTGTCAAACAAATAACATG